TCTTCCACTGCCTTAGTAAAAGTAATTTGAGTTTTAAGGCGTTCAGGTGCGGGTTCATAGGTACTCCAGTAGTTGATCTTAAGACGTTTTAGCCTTTCATAGAGCGTAATGGCCAGTTGCTCCCGGTGTGTCTCAAGAGGTACTATGCCTGTTTGTAATTCTAGCGCAGATATTGGGGTTGATCTGCTCCCTCCTGTCACGAGTCTAAGGGCTTGATTCTGGATTATGTCGAGCTTGTGTAATATCGCGTCCGAAGCAGTGATAACAAGTTCTGCTCCATATTCAATAACAGGGCGGACATATGTTTTGTAGGTAAGAGCCATAACATCCCCCGTTGCTCTCCATTTTGAGCCACCTAACCTCTGTATTAACGAAAGTCGTTTTGAAGCCTGTTCTATTTGTTTTTCAATGTGTTTATTCCAAGAGAGTCTTTTATCCAATTTCACTCCAAGATATGTAGCTTCTACTGTGCGTTTGAGCTCTTCGTTATTATGGTTCAAATTGATCTCGTGTGATTTGGTAGAGAGGATAAAAAGTTGGAATTCCTTCTTTTCGGAATTAACGATCATCTCGTTTTCATTGGCCCACTTCTCTAGTAATTTAAGTACATGTTTGCATGTGATTTTCTAGCCCTTTAAAGTCACTACTTGTTGCCCAAATGACGAGGTCATCTGCGTACAGCAGGGCATTTGTACCCGGAATAGTTTCAGTGAGTTCCGTGATATCATCAATCATGATGTTAAACAGTAAGGGACCCAGCACCGAGCCTTGTGGGAGGCCTTGTTTTGTTTGGCGATATGTCGAGACAACGTTTTTATATCGCACCCTTATAAACCTTTGATGTAAGAAAGAAGATATAGTCTTGAGCAGATATCCTGTGACTCCCTTGTCAACAAGCTTACTCACTAGCTTCTTTATCCAAACTCTATCATATGCCGTCTTAAAATCTACGAATATTGCTTGGGTGCTCTGTTTTCTTTGGAAGCCGTTTTTTTATTTCTTGTGTTAGACGAGCTACTTGTTCAATTGTATTTCGATTTTTCTTGAAGCCAGCTTGTTTAGAAGATATTAGATCATATTTCTCTATGCATTTTTCAAGTCTTTCTGCAACGATTCTCTCGTAGAGCTTGGAGAAAGTACTTGTTAATGCAATGGGTCTGAAATTTTCCGGCATGTCTCCTTTTTTTCCTCTCTTCAAGATTGGTACCACTTCTGCTTTCCTCCATTCACACGGAATATGTGTTTTCCAGACATCATTTAAAAATTTTAGTACTATTTCTTTGGCCATATCCCCCAGGTGTATAAGAAATTCCGACAGTATGTCATCTGGGCCTGCGGTTTTAGCTTTCTTAGATTTAGTAAGAGCATCATTTAGTTCTTGCATTTTCCGATATCTATCCGGTGTTCTCCGGAAAGATTAAAGCCGGTGTTCTCCAAGGCAGCGTCTTGGGCCTCGTGATTTACATTTTCTGATATCCATCCAGTTAAATTCGGTGTTTCCCAAGGCAGCGTCTTGGACTCCGCGCTATACATTTCTTTACCACTGAATCTCTGTTCAGTTCGATACCTTCCTCGCAACATTCGCTGATGACACCGCAATCTTATCATCTAATTCTGATCCCGAAATAACACCCTTAAATCTGCAAAGCCACCTCTCCCTGATTTAGCCCTGGTTTAATAAATGGCACGTCAAAGTAAATGAATCTAAGTGCCAAAATATTACCTTTACACTCCGACGCAATTCCTGTCCATCAGTACACTTTACTCCATCCAGCTTCTTTATTCAGACAGAGTCCGGTATCTTTGCTTTCGTTTAGACCGAAGACTAACATGAAGACTAACTAACCCTTATACTAGGATCAAAGGACAAGAACTCAACCTGCGATACGGCCAACAATGCAGACCACTGAACAGAAAATCTAATTTTTCTATTTAAATCAAATTACTTATCTACAAGACAATACTGTAACCTATATGAAGCTACGGACTAGAACTGTGGGCGGCATCAACATTTTCTAACATCTATTATAACATATTCGATCCTTTCAGTCCAAAGTCCTTCGAACAATAGTTGATGCTCCGTTCTATGTGACCAACAAAACCCTACACAATGACCTTAACATCCCATTTGTTCTAGACCTTTTCCCTGAAATTTTTTCCGAATTCTATCAAAACCTTATATTTCATCCGAATCCACTTGCACAATCCCTATCTAGCTCTACCCATCCATTCAATCCTCCTCAAAGGTTGAAGCGGCAGTGGCCCATAGACCAGTTGTAAGCATACATTGGAATTCTGGCAATGGCTAGATTCTCCACTCAAGCTATGTATGTACGTCTGACTTTAGCGCCTTTGCTCAGCTTCCACTGGTCCTTAATACGAGTAATGCGGCTGAGGAAGAGGCGCTGGGATCTCTTAGAGTCCTGCCACCTTTCTCTCTTCGCCGAGTGGAGAGAAAGGCTTGGCTCGGAGATCTTGAGTGAATGAATTATGTAAATTTGTAGAAAAGTAGGTGTGTATTTAAGTATTTATTTTGATTAGTTTAGTTTCTTTGTGTTTAGTTCAGTTTCTTTTAGTACTATTATTTTGCTGTTTACGGTACTTTATTTTTATTTATTGTGTATAGTTTGAATGAACTACTCTTCTATCACCATTACCATTGTTCTTAGATGTGACAGATTGGATTGTAGTATCCCTCAATAAAGAATAAAAAAAATATATTCTCGGGTAAGAATGTTATATTTAAGAATGTTATATTTACTATCATTTAAACCAACATTGATATAACATATCATATAGATGCACATTAATTATATAAGTGATGGGGACAACCATATTTTTTTTTTTGGGCGGAGGAGGAATGCGCCATCGGCCTTGGGGGGGACTTGGTAGGCTTCCGCCCAGATCGGTACTGCGTGCAAAAGCCTGGGACTGGCTACATTAGCCTGAAGCTTCCTCTGATTTCCCCTATCGGTGGTATACGAGGCGCTAAACTACCAAACTCTAGTCACTGAGCTATACATACCTAGAGGGATTTGAAAGTACACCAGTATATTTAACTTATAAATGATTATGGATTGAACGAATATTAGTTATTCATCTCTTATTTTCCATTGTAAAATTTACTAAAATGGAATTAAGAGATTTTAATTGCCTGTCATCGACAGGTCAAAGGTTGTCACACTAATTGAAAGTGAAACTAAATGAATAATGTTGTGGTTTAAAAAATTCATCGAATTGTTCACTGATGTAATTTCCTAAAACGGCACATGATTATTTTTCGGAATAAGCGGACAAGTAGATACCAAATCGTTTAAATATAATATCGAATTTAGAGTTATTAAACTACAGTAAATGTATTTAAGGTTACAAACAGACGTTTTTCACATCCATGAAATATTTTTAAATTTCTCTTCTTCTTTCACACAACCACAATGAAATAGTTTTTTAACTATAGCCTGGGAGTCCTTGGGGAACATCAAAATATAAGCTATAGCTTGATTTTTTAATCCACCTTGATTCGGTGGATTTTATTCCCACTTTCTTCCAACTTAAAAGTAATTTCAAAATTTTACATTTACCTACTTAGTTTCGAAATTTCATGAAATTTTCTTAGAAATATGTGATTTTCGTTAAATATATACATGTTTTTTTGGCTTTAAATATTTATTTTCACTTGTCAACCTATTGTCGACAATCGGAAAATATGCTGAAATAATGATATTTCAGACATGGGAAATATTAATGTTAATAATAATATTAGTTTTAGTATCATTTGTCATTCGTCACTCTCTATTACTTTCTACGACTTTATATAATAGGTATTGTTTTTTCTAAAAGTCTCAGCTTTCCAACGATCTATTATACGCTTATCCTCTGTTTACTATTTATGGAAATTGATTTTCGACCTAAATAAACATTTATCCTTTTTTATCCTTTAGTCAATTATCAAATTCTTTCATAGTTTATATTTAGCCTCTTTTTATCCTTATAAACAATGAGAGATAGATCATTATTCAAAATTAACCAAATTAAAGGTAATTTAGTGGAAGACATTTTGATCATTGGGCACTTATGCTCTGTTAAGCGACATCATTAATACCTATATGATATTAATTACATAATTACACATTAATGGGCAAGTTTAATCAAATTGTTCGACCCGATTTCGAGAATATGGTAAAAATGAGTAAAATTTGTGATGTAAAGACTCACTTCCGATTTTGACGAAAAAGCTGCTGTAATATCCCCACCTTAAATACGTAATTTAAGTTTCGAACAACTTTTCATTTTGAGCTAGACTTGGTTTTTTGGACTCAGGGGACGTGAAATCATGTACGACCATTGAAAATTTAGATTCGAAAATTTTCACGACCGCAATACTTTCCCTCATTATATATTGCATATATAGGTAAGTAAAAGTAAAACGGAATGGACTATTTTAAAAACAGTCATAATCGGGGATTAGGAATTCCTCTTGCCGCAAGAAATACCTAGACATCAAAATTGATTCAGAATAATAGCTCATTAGGGGGCGGTGTCCCTTTCTATTTTATTACCAAAGTCAACCACACCAAACTTCAAAAATTAATTTACGATGTTCACAACCACGGAATATTAAAATCGAATTAATGTTACTATAATTAATTAGGGTTTGAATTATTTAGTATGAACTCCAAGTTAAGTGTGAGACCTGTATGAGTTGAACCGCTTTTATGCCCTCTAAAAATTTTACTTATGCAGGTCGCACTGGCTTCATTTTCAGATTTCGAAGGGAATTATATTCATCGTAGTGAATACCAGAAGGAGACCAAAGCCAGGTCTCGCCACTTTGCAATTCAAATAGTACATTAGGGAAGCAAGCTCATTTGTGTTGATCTTTTGAAAGTAGGGCTTATGAGTACGACAATAGTCAGCTGATGGACGCGACCTCCTCAAGGTCGTTCAAGAAGAGGAGGAACTGAAAGGCCATCGAGAGATAGTGGAAGAGGTAGATGGAGGGGATGGCTGTGATACAACCCGCTGGCTGTATTCAGTAGATAGCCAGGCCATAGCCATGCTGTATAGTAGGATACTCTGTTTGCTCTTCTTCGTCGGGGTCGCCGCCTGTGCCGTTGTTCCCACCTCCACACTCCTTAAGGTGGCGTCCTGCTCCAGCGTCAACTCCTCAAGAACGCTATGTCTTACCTCCAACAACGTGAGTAATTTGAAAATTTAACTGTCAACCTTTGAATCATTTAAATTGATCTTACAAAAAAAAAATGACCCCATAACTATTTCGTGCCTAAGAATTTTTGTCGATTCAGTATCGTGTTGATGAAATATACAGCGAATTATCTGTAGCTTCGTATATAGATATATTTTGTAATATATGTTCATCAAAGTTTGTTGTAATTTATATTTATGTTCATTCAATCTCAATTACAACTCATTGTTTAGAAAATAAAACGTATGTATATTTAACGAAATATGTATGCAAAATGATTATGTTAAAATGAAAATACTTTTTATTTTGGAGCAAATTTTTCAGTATGAATAAAGTAGAACAATAAAAGAATGTCAAACATATGATTTAGTTGTTTAAAAACTCATTAATACAAATTAGATATTTGATTCTAGAAGATGGGAAAAATAGTCATGGTAGCAGAATTAAAATTTTTACTAATAGTATTTTAAATTATTATTATTTTTTAATGCCTATAGTTTCAATTTTACTTGCATGAACCAATACATGAAATATATGATGGTATTTTAAGTTTTCAACTGAAATACTTGTTTTAAAGTCTTCTGAATTTAAATAACTAAGTTCAGCTAAATGGTGTGTGTGCTTATCCGTCTAAAACAAAAAGTAGTGCGTGACTGAAATTATGTTTATATAGTAGGTATATGCCTGGAGTATTACAGCAATGTTTTTGCTAAAACCTAATAACCAGAAGTGGCACTTTCTCATTTTTGCAATTTTCTCTAAAACGGTTATAATCAATTCTATTACTATCGTTATATAAATGTGTAATTTAATGGCCTTAATATCAGCTAGATTTTTTTTTTATCTTCATTGAAGTAATCTGATAGTTCTAAATGCCGAATTTTGTTCTCTAAACTAACTTGTTTATTTATCATCTCACCACAGAGGAGTTACAAGGAGAGTGTTTGGGTTGACCGCTGATAGCAGAACGATTTTTAAGTCTGATGATTCAAATTATTCATTAGACCCCGTGAGTGGTTTAAACAATTTCGGAAAGCATAGGACTTCTGATTGAATAAAGTATGTTTATTCAATTCGCTTAAAGGTATGTGAAGAGTTTTTGAGCGAACGGTTGGATCGATTTTCAGGTTTGATAGCTTAAATTAGTCGGTGAGATTCCCTGAGTATTTTGAAACAATAGAAACTAAAAACATTGACCCGAGATTGAATAAAATGTGTTTTATGTTTAATGACATAATTTTTCAGTGAGATGTTCCCGTGAGTTTTTAAAACAAATTGAGCTCAAAGCACTGAGAAATTATCGTGTGAAAGGTACTTGATATATCCGTTAAAATGTATATAATGAATTATCGAGCGTACGGCTCGATGGATTTTTAATTTAAATGGTTCAAATTACTCAATGGAATCTCATGACTGTTTCATAATAATGATAATGATAAAATCTGTTTAATCAATTCCTTATAAGGTACGTGATGATGTTTTGAGTGAACGGCTGGAATCGATTTTTAAGTTCGATGTCTTAAATAATTCGATTAGATTCCGAGAGTGTTTTGACATCGAAGCGACACGAGAATCATGTATGTGGCTTTTCCGCTAAAAGGTGGAGAAACATCTAGTTATACCTGATAAAAAAAATGGACTTTAGAAGGAAAAAACTATGGTTTCCTTGGAAAAAGCCTATAAAATACAATATCTCGACAACCTATTCAGATGTGAATGTGAAGTTGGTGGTGTTAAACTATATTTAAGGAAGATCATCTCCTCCCTCAAAATATTAAAAAAATATTTTATTATATAAAAATAATTTCGCCAATTTATTGGTCCCATATCATGCCATTTGGATGATCATATAAATTTTCAATACTTTCAATAAAAAAAAATTGAATTAAAAAAACCTTACAGAATTCGAAAATGGCTGTCCACCGTCCATTTCCGCATCTACTTAAATACCTTGATAGATTGTTACCGAAATTGACCTCTATGAAAATTTCAAATTGGTGTTGTAATAGACTTTCCAGAACAACTACCACTACACCACTCCTGCTAAGTAATTGTCCTATAGATCGCTCTAAGTCGACATTCCTTAGGGAGTGAAAGGTACCTATTCCTACACAATAATTAAATAATCTTTAACGTCAATTTCTCTGGTAATCTACTAACATGTACATGCACATTCCCTTAAGGTGGTTAGGATTATTTCTGTAGTCAATTTTTTTTTTTTTACATTGCCAATCTGGGACCTTGAGCATTGGAAGTCAGTATCCTACGACTGAGCTACCCCATTTCGATAATTACTACATATATTTATGAATAACTGCATACAATAAGGTAACATAGATCCCTTTTCGAGCTCTTAGGACGCTTGGTTTTGAAGAATGAGATATCAAACGAAAGGGAATTCCATGGAGTATTGCGGAATGCCAAATCCAAAATATAAACCTCTTTAAAAATGCAATAAAATTGAAAACGAACGGGAAGTTTTCAAATGTTGACGGATGGAGAGGGGATGTGTTTTAAATATTTGTATGTATACATCAAGATTCCAAAGGGACTATAACGGACCCTGATTTTTAAAATTCCAAATGCATCGATTTTAGGATAAACCGTGGATATGCATTTTTCTTTTTTTCTCTAATTTTCAATTTTCATATTTAGCCATTTGTTATATTTACTGTCAATAAAAGAGAGTTCATTTCTTAAAATAAACTATGTTAAAGGTACTTTAGAGGAAGACGTATATAAACATTGGGCATTTAAGCCCTGTAAAGTGACATCAATATGTGACATAAGACTTAATTGATATTAAAGACCACTTAATTATACAATGATACACCGAGTTTAATCAAAGTCGTTAGAGCCGTTTTCGAGAATATTGTAAAAATGTGTTTCACCATCGAAATAAAGTGGCACTTCCGGTTAGCCGATTTCAAGCAAAAAGTTGCTATCACATCTAAGGAATATACCTATCTTAAATATAGATTCCAACATTATACATGTTGTATAATACAACGTTATACATAAAGATTCCAAAGGGACTATAACGGACCCTGATTTTTAAAGTTCCAAATGCGTCGATTTCAGGATAAACCGTGATTTCTGCCGAAAACCTCTTAAGTGCTGCGGTTGGCGATGGATACTTATCACATATAAGAACTAAAAATCTACTAGAAAGGTATATGGATTTGAATGGTTCTATGATTCCTTAGACCCTTCGATATAGAGAAAGAAACTTCTTAATATGTTTAATTAATAAAAACACACACACAAATAAAAATGGTCCATAATACCAGTAATGCGGCAGAGTGAGAGGCGCTGGGATCTCCTAGAGTCCTGCCTTTACTTCTAAGAGAGGGAGGAAAGGCTTCGTTCGGAGATCTTGAGTGAACGAATTTTGTAAATATTGTATAGAAGCATTTGTGTGTTCAAGTAGTTATTTTAATTAGTGTAGTTTTTTTTTAGTATATATATATATATATATATATATATATTTTTTTTTTATTTTTTTTTTTTTTTTTTTAACTTTTATTGAGTATTAATACAGTCTGCCACACTGAAGGGCATTGGTACTAGTGCTGTAGTATTCATTCACACAATATGTACATAAGAAAGGAAAAAAAAAAAGTATATATATATATATATAAATAAAAAGATAAAGTAATATACAAGATAATTAAAAAAAACAGACCAGCCGAGTAATAACAAAACAAATAAAACACATTCACACCTAGTTTATATATTTAGTATTATTATTTTTTTCTGAAATTCTCCGTTTTCCAACGATATATTATACATATACCTGCTGACTATTATTTCCGGAGATTCATTTTCGACCTGGATAAGCATTTTTCCTTATAGAATACATACATATATATAAACATTGGGCATTTATACCCTGACATCAATGGGGATAAGACCTAAATTATATTAAATACCACTTAATTATACAGTGATTCACCAAGTTTAATAAAAATCGTTAAAGCCGTTTTTTAGAATATTGTAAAAATGTGTTTAAGCGTTGATATGAAGTGGAACTTCCGGTGTATATACATATATAAAAGTTGCTGTCATATCTAAGGCATATACCTATCTTACTAACCGAATGGTAAAGATTGAAACAACTTTTTCAAATATTACTAATAAGTAATAAATATTGACTCGATAAAAATATACAATGCAGTTTAATATGCTATTTATAAAAAGGTTTAGAATTAAATTTACCTTTCAAAAGTTCTAAAATAATATAAATTAGAGCTCCGTTACTAAGATACTATTTCCCTCTTATTTAAAATTGGAAAATAGATAAAAATGAGTTAAAATTGTACCATTAATGCTAAGCAAAGAAAATTGATTAGAATTTTAACGCTTTGATAATTATCATAGAACGTTTCACATTATTTTTTAATAGTTATAAACCAATTAAGTATGAGGTATCCCCACGCACCACTTTTCTTACCACATTGGGAAAAATTTATCCTTTAGACATAATAAACGAGATCGAATTTCCACGAGAATATGTGTAAAAATTCAAAACGCCATATCTTGTAACAAATGGACCGATCTCAATGAATGGTTTTTTGTCTTGCAGGAAATATCACTACGTTAAAAATAAAACTCATGATCACTCGAAAAAAGAATGCTTACTTGTTTAATTCTTCACAAATAAACTTTTATATTCATTAACAATTTTTCAATTCTTTTTCGGAGAAGTGTGTTATGAACATATATTTATATTGCTTTAAGGGGAAGACTTGAGAGAAGTTTCATCAAAATTATTGCTGCTACAGTTAGTTCGAAACTAGGTCTTTTCTTGATAGAACATGGCAGCTGATAATGAGACCACACAAAGCATTTTTCCAGCACCAATTTATTATACACGAGGAAGGACTGTGGAATGATAAATGCTTTATTAAATATGTATAAATTATAAATTTCCAAAAATATACAGAACATTTCTACGGCATGATTATTTGTCTGCCGGCAATTTTATGTTT